CAGACAACCCCGTAACAATATGCGTTTTGTACTGCTGTTACACAGCACAAAACGCATAATAAACAGGTGTCTGAAGCAAGAATAAGAACAGAGGAGAAAATAACATTAAGAAACATTACGTATACAGTCTATTAAGTCGTATACATTTCCTACCATTATCACAGTTGGACCTCGTCAATACGAAGATTGTGGTAATTGCAATTCGTGTAAATTAAATTTAAATTATATTAAATTATTGAAATTAGTTGTAAGAAAACTAGTAAAAGTAGATGCTAATAACAATACTTTGCACAGAGTAACCTGAATCCAGTTCTGATGGGATCAATAAGTTTCAAGAGGTACCTGAATCGAGTTTTGACGAACTGTTCCCAAATGATCGCCGATGATGCAATGCCCATATATGCAATTTCTTCGGTTTTGAAATTATCAACAACTGAGACACCAATTCCTTGCAAGGACATTTCAAGTGAGAGTGTTGCCCGTTCCACTTCATATGCCTCATGCGCCGTTGTCATCACTGCTAAATCGTTCGTGAACAGGTACACACGTTGACGCCCGTTCAAAAATGAAACCTGCAATCCACAAAGAACATGTGCACCATCTTAAAAAAACCCGTATATTGTTTTTTTGGAGGGTGCAGACAAGAAAAGAAAGGTGTATTTTGCCCAGGGATAAATATACACAACAAAATGGCCTCGAGCCGATTTCCGAGGGCAAAAGGTCGGTGGCGCTGTGTTTAAGCACTTCGTATTAGACTGTGAAGACGAGTGGTCCGAATTCCCGGTCCACAACTACTTGCAAAACAGGCTCCGTTTAGAAAACAAGTACAACCGCATTTCGTAAGCAAAACTGTCTGGATGCCAGACCATTTCCCACAGATTGCGAAACGCTCTTCGAATCAAAATTTGGAGTTTTATTTCTTGAGAAAATAGAGCAAATGCTGCGAAGTGCAGTGCATACCCAGTAATAGTGTGTGTCGCTCGATTTTACAGGCTTATAGTCTTCAAAAGTATTCCTGATCAATGGATCCGAATAATTTGCATCACCACTCTTCCATTCCAGCTCACGATCGCGTGTCACATCAGTCCATGTAAATGCACAGCTTTCCCACGGGCCTAGCGTCGTCTTGCTACGAGCACCTGAAGATATTTTCTTTTTTGAATGAAAAACCCCTTCAGAAATGAGGTACAAAAGCCATAATCTAAGATGAGTAAAGTTACTTTTTAAATTGGGACGGGAAAAAAAGGGGAGGGGATCTTCAACAGTAAACCGAGAGACCTCGGGGTGATGGAAAAGGATAAGGAAGAGATACAAAGAAAAAAGTAACAATGGTACCTTTTTGACTGAATTCCACCGGTTTATCGGTTGCATTCATTATTATCGCCGGTGCCATTCCGGGTTCAAATGTTTCAAATTTGATAACTGACGATGATTCATCAATCAAGACTGTTACGTAGAAACCGAGATACTAAATTTAAGCATCATTAAATCAAGAAAACAGAAAGATTCTTTTACAAGCAGTCTACAGACCTGAAGTCCTCTAGTTCGCGCAACTATTCAAAGTCCGGAAAGAATATATATGTAT